GGCAAGACTTTTTTCATAGTTATGAACAGTTATAGAATCCCTTTTTCTAGTAAGGGAAAAATACATTCATTTACAGAAACTAGAAACAATGCTCCTTCTCTTCAAAGCAGCCTTGTTCTTCTAGAATCCTCATTGAGTGTTTTTTCTCCCCAGGCAGCTCTTCCTTAACCTCTCAGGGTTTGAAGTCCTTATTTTTTTCCCATTACTTTGCTGACAACGCTTCGATTTTTTTCATATTCTCTATATTTATAAATATATAGTCTTGCCTTCCCTAATAGATCTCAGGCTCCTGCATCTTAGAAGTCTCCTCCCTGTCTCCAAGACAGCACATAGCACGTGTCTTGTACACAACAGCCACCGATTCATTGATCCAACAGTTATTCTAGTATGTGTCAATGACCAGGGATGCAGCAGATGCCATGCCTGCCCTCAGAGTTTAGTGTCTGATAGATAATAGTGAAGAACCATGTACCGGCGCGTTTTCTCCATGCGTTTATCTCATTTAATTCTCATGCCTTTTTTGAGAGGAATACTACTACTACTACTACTACTACTACTACTACTACTACTACTACTACTACTACTCCCATTATATAGATGAGTAAAGTGAGGTTTAGGACGTGAACACTGCTGGCTGTAGTGGAGCTTGTGTTTAGACCAGCTGCCGTATAATTCCACGAATCTAGTCTTAACCACTGTGATCCACCGGCGCCGCAGCCTCAGTAGGAACACTCCAGAGGGGTGTGCCTGGTTCCTAGACGGAACCTGTGGAAGAACCCATTCCTCTCTCTGTAGGTGAGCCTCGAGCAGGCTGGAGAGGGAACAGAGGGTTCTCGTGATTCTCACAGGCAGTTAGCATTCTCTGAATGCCACCACGGGAAACTTCCCGTTTGCAAGGGCCCCTACGAGAGCTTTGCTTCAAAAGAGAAGTCCCACAGCCATCTTCCGAGTCCGCTCGGCCGTAGGTGCCTGAAGACAGGGCCCAGGCCCTATGCCTTGCAACTTCCGGGGCCCAGCCCGGGACCAGGCAGAGAGTACAGTGACCACCGAGCCTCTCGGGGGCCTTAGGGGAGCGAGGTCCGGACGGGATGGGGATGGGGTGGGGACAGAGGCGGGACAGGGGCGGGGTGGGGCGCTCCCTACCTCCAGGAAGCCCCCG